AATTTATGTAACCGATCCATTGATCTCTTGTTTGGTTAAATAATTGTGTTAGGGTACGACGGAACTGGCACACGCTAAGCGTTTTTAAAGATATCTTTATTTCTTTCTTTCAAGAATAATCTGGTACAGATGAAAACACCACCATATAATAGTATGTCAAAGTAATCTACAATATTGTAACAATTATTTATACTTTCGTAAAATCTTGCTATAATTAGTGACAAAGTATTAGAAGTATCTACTAAGTAAAGAACTCAGTTCATTGGTCGTAAAGTTGTACTGTGATTAACAAGTGCACACATGTTCGCTTGACATGGTCCATACTTGAATATGTAATGCTCGCCATCTTAGGAACTTGTCAAATGCGCACACGGAGACTATGGAGACACCGTGCTGTATTAGTTCAACATTTTTTTTTAATTATAATTTCCTCTAAATGTGTTAGAGATTTGCGTTTCTTTAGAAATATCCAACTAACAAAAGATAGATTTGTAATAGGATTCATCTTATAACTAAAATAGACATAGAATAGAAAACTATTAAAATTCTTATAAATGATCGCAAACAAAAACAAGATGAAGACAAGAATGCTATTAAATTATTAATTCAGTACATTAACGAGTGCCTAGAAATATTAATAAAATTTTAAAGTTTTTGTTTCGTGCGACCGTCATCTTAAGAACGGGTTGCCAACAATGAAATACATAATAAAATAGGCGTTTGCGTTTTTTTCTCGACTCCACTATTTCATAGTATCGACCAGCTTATTGATTACAAATCGGACGAGCTGATTGGTCAGCTGACAGCCAATCAGCAATCGCTTGATATGTTATTAAATACCGAATTAATAAAATGTTGCCGCTATACGTCTGCGCCAAATATCCTCACCAATATCACTTGACCTCTGTACAAGAATCCTCATTGTCATTTCGATGTAATATCGAAATACTAGTACACAGTCGTAGGTCTTTCGAAACTGGTTTTAATTTTTTTGGTGTTGTACTTGTATTTTTTGCGAACGAATTGGCCATCTCGAAGTTTTTGTGCGAAGAGTGGATTGGCTATGATTATCGATTTTTTGTGGTGTCAGCGTTAATTGTGTATCAATTTTATTGTGTTGTGTAAATTGATTAATATTCAGTATTGGTGTCATGGCGTCTTGAATTCAGAATTTAAATTTGTTGACTTTAAAACGTATAGCTGTAGCGTGTTAAAACGTGGCAGACTTAAACTACTAGTAATAATTTATCATTGGATTAAGTAATTATGTGTTCATCAAATATAAGAGGTTTGTTTATGAATACTGTTTCTTAATACTCATTTCATCACTCCAAACTCTTTGGTATCTTAAAAAAAGATATTTAAAGTTATTCCGTCGGTGTCGGTTGTTGTACGGATGTTTCTAACTTCGAATAAAGAAGTGATTTCAAGTCCCGAGTAAATAGGTTGCTTATTTGACAATTAGTTTCCTACCTCGGCTTCGCCCGCGATGTGGATAATAAGTAGCCAATGTGGTAGGGTATCTATCTACATCATCATTATCATCACCATCAGCCTATAAGTGCCCACTGCTGAGCAAAGGCCTCTTCTCACACGGAGAAGGTTTGTGCATTAATCACCACGCTTGCTCAATGCGGGTTGGGTTGGGTCTATCTACATACCACAATTAAATCGGCCAAACGTTTTTGCGTGAAATAATAACAAACATACATCCATATATTCTCACAAACTTTCACTTTTATAATATTAGTAGGATAAGCTGGCTAGTACTGTAATTGGCTACATCTAAGTTTTTTTTTCTACGGAAACTTTGTGGTTGTCTACTTCATCAGTTATTAGTGCGAGCTAATGCAATGTTGATCTAAATCAGGGCACAGGTCTCCAGACTCATTGAAAAATGAATTGCTTTCAATTGTAATAAAATTAAAGTAAAACACAATTTCATGCATAATTCTACGATACAGGTACCAAATATTCTGATTATTCTAGCTTATTTTTTTAGAAATTACAGTATTCTCTTTCACGCTAAAACACGTTGTTGCAGACAATTTGAATAAAACTCGATCGATTATTGGTTCGATGTTCTTTCTATTCGACTCGAACGGTCGAGTTTGACGATTCAAAAAATATTTAATTTGACTGTCAAGCCTTGAAAAAATTACATGGCTGCTTAGAGACATAGTGGAATCAATTTTGTCGAAAAAAAAACAAAAAACAATTTTTATTTAATTTTATTATTTAAAAAATCGAAACAAAAGGAACATTTATGTATTACAATAAAGAAAAAAAATCAGTTACACCATTGTTATTGACTTAATCGATGTACGAAATAGAGACTACAGGCTGAAAACAAACAAAAAAAAAAAATGGAAGACGTACAAATACGGTAACATAAAAACTATGGACAATCAATGTTTATTCACAATTAGTGAAAAAAATTAATGATATATTTGCGACGATGAATTAACAAGAGTAATAATGACAGGGACCCTTTTGTTGTGAGGAAAAGGAAGAAAGGAGGAAAATCAAAGACTTCTCCCAGCCAGGATGGGGCAGTCGGCAGAGTCAGTCTTAGTGATAACCCCCCCCCCCCCTCTGCCTCCCTGTTCCTTCTTCTGCTCTAGGCTGAGGCCGCGGTGCCTTATTGCGCTTGTCCCGCAACCCTGGCTATACATCAGCCCTATAGGGTCCCGTCTGTGACGTCCGGAGTGTCGCCTACCATAACCGGGACCCTGTGGTCCTGTGATTGGTAAAGTCATACAAATAATTATAAATGGCAATCAATATTTAAGTACTATAAAAGTGTCAATAACTTGTGACGATATTGTTTTATAAATACAGTACTATAGTTTTATTGTAAAATGAAACATTCTGATCACCACTGCCTTACAAAATGATACTATTAATTCTTAAAAATTAACTTTTTAGTTTCAAAGTACTCTTTTATATGCAAGAAAACGTGCAAGTTTGACTAGTTGGTATTTAATACTGTAATCATGTTTAATACTTATTTTGAGATATTATTTAGCAGTCTGAAAGAGCATATTTTCTTGCATTTACAAAAAAACTATTAAGAAAAATACTTTGCGTATTGTGGCATTTTTGGTGATATCTGAATATTATGAAATCGAAGAACTTAGTAATACTTTGTTTGGTTTGAGAATCGAATTCAATATTGTGGTAGGAAATCATATTGAAAGCTAGGAAATTGATTTTTTTATGATATCCTAGTAGCCTGTAGTCTCATACAAAGAAAAAACTAAAATACTGTAAAATAAACAACATAAGAATAAATGCTTCAATGATAGTGACGACAATAGGGCCGCTGTCGTAATGATAGCGGGCGCTTAAGAGGTAGCGGAAGCGGGTAGGTCGTATCATTATTTTATACACGAGTTTTTTTTTACAAAATTAGATCGTCGCTTTGAGCATTACATTAATGATATGATGAATATTAAAACATTTACTTTACGTAATTGTTTTAAAACTTATATTTAACAATTATAATATGAATAAGCACAAAGCTAAGTGATAAGTACTTCTACTTTTAAATACGAGGTTAAAAACTTTAGATATTTTGTATTCCTAAATAGATAATACTTCTTTTCTCAAAACCTACACGCTTCCGTATAAATTTAATTACAACTAAAAATAAACAAAGTTCTAAAGAAAATGAAAATAAAAACTAAATTACGGTAGAACTCACTTTACATTTAAAATGCGCTTCAAACAAGTGTATCAGTGTTAGGTAAAAACCTTGAATTTACATTTCATTAAATATTTACGTTTGGTACAAAAATACGCAAATATATTCTGTTATTATTTTTACACAAACATATTAATTTATTATTATTAATATCTACATAGCTAAGTGTAATAAATTAAGGTCCATGATTTTACACAAATACACGTTCTTTTTTCAAATGGAAGTCATTTTGAATTGATTGTCAATTGGCAGGTTCATGCATAGTAACGGAAAATAAGTTTAACATTTATTAATTCCATCACCATTTTATTTTATTAACAGACCCAGAGGCACAATTGCTACGAGTGGCGAAGTAAAAAAAACAAAGCCATTTTCACTTGTAAATAAACTGTGCGTTTGGTACTTTGTTGAATCGATCGAGTTGAATGATCATGATGGATAAGGTTTTTGTTTATTAAATTAAGACATCAGGATACTAGGGCAAGTCACGAAATCCTGTCTTTAAAGAGACATCAGAACAAATACATCATCATCCAATCATGGTTCTAATAAAATGGATTTAATTTATCAAACCCCAAGCGAAAGGATTCGTGCACCAGCTATTGTTCTTCTATTGTGATTAAAAGGATAAAAAAGATTATATTATTAAAATCATACTTTATCTTTTTCTTCGATAGTATTTCCAGTAACTCAATAGAAATATAAAGATGAAACATCTAAATCGCTACTCGCCAGCAATCGCACCAAGGCCTTATGATGGAACAACGGATGAATGACAGTACACTTTGATTTTTGATTATGTCTACCTAACTACCAAAAAATCTATATATCATTGTTATTGCTAGGAGTCCAAATATAAACTTTGGTACATACATTTTTAACTTTTTTTTATTATCATAAGATTTATATTGATACATATACGATCTCCAGCACAGGTGCGAATTATCTGAAAGAAAATGAGAAATATCTTTAAAAACCTTATGTATGAATTAAGTTTGATGAATTTAATGGCCTTTAGAATTAAATTATATTTTTATAATGCGTAGTTGCGGTTGGGTGTCTATGAGCGGCGCTGATTGCTTACCATCAGGTAACCCGTTTGCTCGTTTGCCGACCTATCACATCTATACTAAAATTATAAAGATGTAGAGTTTGTTTCTTTGAAAGCGCTGATCTCCAGAACTGCTGGTTCGAATTGAACAAATCTTTTTGAGTTTGATAGTCCATTTATCAAGGAAGACTATAATATAAAATGTAGGACCAGTAAAAAATAAACTCATACCGTACTCCCGCGTCACTTTCTGCCGGTGCTCAAGTCTTGTAGTTCGCTGCTGTCGTCGCTAGAGGCGCTGGCACCGCAGCCGTTGGTCACGGTGGCTGTGGGGGCGCCGGCTGCTGCCGCCATGGCCATCGACAGCGGGATAGTTATAAACTGAGGTTGGCTTGATGATGAAGCTGAAAACAAAATTAATGTTATTACAATGATCGAGAAGATTACATACATCCATCATCAGCCTATAAGTGTCCACTGCTGAGCAAAGGCCTCTTCTCACACGGAGAAGGTTTGAGCATTAACCACCACGCTTGCTCCACGATTTCAAACTTATAATTAGAAATTATAACTCCAGGTTTCCTCACGATGTTTTTATTTCATCGTCTATCAGTGGTGTCTCAATAATCATAGAAAGTATATAAAGTACATTAGAGTCAAATAGGTTGCTTTTTGCAAGATATTGGCACAGTTAACAACAGGTGAATCATCAAGCTTCTTATTCTTCAATTACTAATTAAAAGTACTTCTTTTAAATTTAATTGTGGAAGAGCTAAGCCTCGACACGAATGGGTCGGCTTGACCGGAGCGATACCACGGCCTCACAGAAAACCGGCGACAACCACAGCGTTGTGTTACGCCGTGTGAATGAGGTTACCGGAAACCCAATCCTGCCCCCTCTCCCATCCCTTCTCAGTCGGTATATATTCGAGACCCTTATCTTTAACACGCCGACAATGCACTCGTAACTCCTTTGGTGTTACGGATGTCCATGGGCGTCGCCAATTGCTTGCCATCAGGTAAACCGTTTGCCGTCCTAATCCATGAAAAACGAATAAAACTTTGTTAATGTTTAATTCTATACTAACCGCCTTCTTGGCCTTGATTAGCCAGTCCCAATATAAATCCGTGTGGGTAGCCCATGGCCAGATTGCCTAGTCCAAGGTTACTGCTGATGCCGTCCAGTCCAGCCAAGACTCCAGGATACAGCATGGCGCCTCCTGGCATCTGTTCAATCTTGGGCAGGAGTTTGGGCAAAGATGGCTTGCTGCTGTCAGCCTCTTGAGTAGTGGATGATGTGGAAGCCGTTGGATCGTTGTGGGATTCTCTGGAAATGGAAAACCGGTTCATCATCGGTGATCATCACGTCGTATGAACACATGTTGTGATTTTTGAAGATACACATGACTACCACTATTGTGGCGGTTTACTTTTAATGTTATTTGCGATTGTGATTCATTAGTTTGTTTCTTAGGTCAAAAATGATTAATTTTAAATTTAAAATTTAATAAATATTCAAAAAAATATTATTGAGTTCCTGCATTGATTTGACAACGAATCGTTTTTATTAGGTAATTTATTTTATTTTTCAATAAATTACAATAAAATTATAAGTACCTAATTATTTTATTATAGTTTCTGACATTTTCGTAAAAGTATTACTAGTTGAAAACTATAGGATAGCTACCTTTAACCTTCCTAAAAACCTTTTCAAAGAAACTTACCATTCCCATAGATAGAAACGTTTTACCCATGATTGATTACACCATAACCAGTGTTAGAATACACACAAAATTGGTCAAAATATCTTACCTAGCTTTATTTTCCCGTTCATTGCTGTCGCATGTCCACTCCTGTTTGTGTACGTGTAGCAACTTCTCACTCGGAGACTCTGGTTCACTGCCGCTCTCGTCACCACTGTCTCCTGAAGATGCTGGTTCATCCTACGAAGAAGAAAATAATATATATATTTTATATTTTATAACATGTTTAGAATCTGTATATTTTATTTTCATTGTCTCTTTTCAGTTTGGTACTATTTTAAAAAAGTTATGATTGTTTTTTTATTTTTATGCGTCCTTGTCAATTTGAATTTACATGTTGAAACAAGCTAGCTTCACCGATGGATAGATTGACGTAATCTTATTTTATTTTTATTTTTAAAGGTACAATGAAACCAAGAATTTATTATTGCAAATAGTCCATAAAACAAAGCCTATAAGCGTCAAAATGGATAAAAAAACTAGATGAAGCCTACATTTACTATCTGCATACTCTGAGAGGAAATGCCGAAACAACCTGTATATGGTTTAGTTTAAATAAATGTTTTTAACTTTAACTCCATTCAGGCGTTCATTGGTAACACATAGTGAAAAAAGTAAAATCTACATCCGATGCTGTAAAGCCGATATACCAAGCCGAGCTAAATATTATTTTCCAAAATCTTTAACTGAAGAATTATGGCATTCTTAATTGATTTGAAGATAACGAGACAAACATTAACTAAATTAACAATAACCAATGTTGAAATGCTATTATTGTTTTACTGTTTCATTTGCATATTGATTACAAACAGCCTTGTTGTAGATTTGTGGATAAAAAACAAATGACTGTGTGTTATCAAGTAATGAATCGTGCGAACGACTTGAAAGTAACAAATTGACAATTTACCAGATAAACTCTTTGCGAACAATCACGCCAGTCACTTTGAAAAGAGACTGGCAGAGGCGTAGTAAAAGTATATTTTTTGTTGATAATGTAAAATTATTTACAAAGGAAAGTAAGACGTTTTTGCTGTCATTTATTTGAATATGAATTCCATATTCACATTATTTTCGGAGCTACTAAATATAAGCAGGCCATGGTAACATGGTACAAACATATTTTTCTGAGCGAGTATTTAACTCGAAGCGCTTTGCATTACAGCTGACTATTCAACAACAGTACCAACAACGAACAAAAGAAGAACGGACATCAACACTATTTCGTCCTCTTTGTTTTTTTTCTATATTAAAACAATTTTTGTCAGTAAATCCTAGCTGTTGCTATAAATCATCGAAACATTCAATAAAAGCCAAAACCAGCTGTCTTAAGACTAAAAAATCTTAATTAAATTTTCATAAAGAACCAAAGTCTAGTAAGCAAGACAAGTTATAACAAAATCACACTTTTTGGCGTAAAAACTTCACTTTATATAAAAGTTCAGGGTGCCACTCAAATCTAGTACAGAGCGCAGGTGTTCCTGAAACTGTGCACTTACTGTGTTTTAGCGCTGTGGCATAAAAACGTCTGGGTGCCAGCTACTTACCACGTTATACCGCCTCGCAGATAGACCTTAAGTAGGTAGTATGGGGGTGTAAGTTTGCGAAAATGTTTTCGAGGCTTTCATAATATCAATTTTCAGGAGTTTGAAGTAAACGGCGTTTTGTTTTGTACTCAACTTGTACTAAACTTAAAGTTTTTTGGTTTGTGTTGACTCAAATTTCGAATTGAAAGTTTGTAATCGCCAATCCGCCTTGAGCAAGGGTGGTGATGCTCAAATCTTCTCCGTGTGAAAAAAAGGCCTTTGCTCAGCAGTGGGCACTTTAGGCTGATGAGGTGTCAAAAGCTTACTTTGTTTAAAATTTGGATTTAGTTCTTAGTCGGGTAAAATATTTGGGCTACTGTCTAACCTGTACCTTGGTATTATCTATCAGTATTTAATCCGCAAACGACACAAGCTGTTAAGTAATTGTTTTGTCAATGAAATCTAACAATCAGTAAGTTCAGTATCAGAAATCATAAACAGAAAAAAATGTATTCACTATTTAAAATAACAATAAACCATATCACTATTGCACAACAACCAAAAAAATCACATTCAAATCATTACAACATTCGTCAGCCAAAAATCGCTTTACGTACATATACATACATACATACCTATTGTTACCATATAAACATATATTACATCTATTGTATACATAAAAGGCATTGTGACGTCACAAAGATAAATCACAGCGGTAATTAGTTGGTATCGTGCGCATCAAAGCAGCACAATTGTTAATAAATACCTACATAGGATGATTTCCAGGGACGGGTGCGCAGGCGCCGATACCATCGTCGTTACTGTTGCTGTTAGAATAATATGGATGCGGCAGGATTTTAGAAGGCTTTTTTGTGGAGTTATATTATAAAGTATAAAGGCTTAATCCTGAGGTGCTTCAATGCTTTTTCTTTTCTACATTATTTTATTAGTTTTATATATTATTTGCTGCAGATGAAAAGTAGCGTTCAGCTTCGAATCTGATTAGAATGAGACTGCCCTATTATATTTCCAGACAAGCTATTAGAATCTTGTATGCTGATGTTTGAAGTATGTTGATAAAAAATATTTAAAGGTTTTATTTATCTATTAGAATCAAGCGGCCTGCCCCTGTCTAACTACTTGGGTTTAACTATTTCGCTGACAACGAAAGGGTCACTTTCTTCCAATTTCCCCCTCTACTTTTCTATTTTTTTTCTTGATAAGAACCTTCTTCTGACTGTACTAAATACAACAAAACAGAATTGGTCCAGGCGTTGTTTGATTTATGCGCTTGCCAACACATGTAGCATTTTTTTTATATAATTATAAGAAACCCGGGGTCGCGTAGTTTTACATTCCCGCATATAATAATATTATTAAAAAAAACAAAGAAGTTTTACTTGCCAAATTTCATTAAGATCTAAAAACCACATCCACACTATTCATGCGTGACTAGCGCGCGTAGGCGTTGCCTTTATTCGCCGACGCACTAAATAATAATAATTGTGCTTAACTAACTACCGTTTAACGCATTCGGCTTTCTTCTGTGCATCTGATAACTACGCACGGTCAGTAAAAAACGAGATTTATTTATTGTGTGTTTAAGTTGTTTTTTCTTTGGTCCGTTGTTTGGTATAGTTTCTTAGCCTACATTGTTAAGAATATCGATTACAGTGACATTATTCTTTAATTATTACTTAGCTTTGTTTGTTGTATTTTGTTATTTAGGATTTAGAATTTAAGGATTATTAAATTTTATTGGGTCTGCCAATACAACATTTGGCTAAAGTATTCAGTCTAATATAGTATTTTGACTGTGCAGTTTGGTTTTGATTCCCGCACAGATCATATTTGTTTGAACCACTAATTGTTATTTCGGGTCTGGGTCATCCACGACACAGGTAAAACTCCTAATGTGTTAATTGTAAAGACTAATCTGAACCGACTAAATGATGTAACAAAGAAATTAATTGTAAAATAGATTGAAAAAGAGTAACCATGGAGTTTTTTGCTCGTCCTTCTCCATTGGAATCTACACTTTGGAACGAGCAAATAGTTTCACTAGAAGACAGACGGACAGACTGACACGCATAAAGTTAAACCTCTTGAAATATTTTTTTTTCATTTTTTTTGCTTGGCGTTAAAATGTGCCTGCTATGGTCTAATTGAAATAAATGATTTTGACATTGACTTAATAAAAAAAAAATGTAAGTACATTTTTAATTAATTGTACTTGGACTAGTCGAAGCAGTAAGTCGTAGCTGTTAGTTGTATCTCCGCTTCTTTTCATAAACATTTAATTTAATAACTAGTTTATATCATTTAAATAAGTTGAATTTATTCTGCAAACAGTACAACAGGGTGGCACTAAGTGTCCGCTGGCCACAATCGGTCGCTGCACCGTTTTTGGACGTTACAGTTTGTTTACTAAGTTGTGACGTCACAATGCTACAGTTACCTCATTATTGTGCTAACTGTAAATTAACTATTACTGCGTTGTTCGAGATGTTGCTTTGTAAAATAATAGAATGGGCGAGCTTTGTGAGCTATGGATAAACATAGACTATATGGTTTTGTGTTTAATTTTAATGATCGTAGGTATATGTACTTATTTTGTTTGCCTTTTCTACTTACGCCTACGTTTTTTTTATCTGTGGAAGGCTCTGAGTATTATTAGTATACATTACACTTGGAGCGTCATATTATTATCAAACGTACTTAATCTGCTCCTGATTTTCGGTTTTTTGGCATGTAGAGTACTGTTTTTAAGGTCAGTATGATTATTTTGTTTAATAACTCAGGACTTAATTTGCTCATAATAAGTCATTACTGACGACTTGAAGTAGAAATAAGTTATTCTTAATATAATAATTACAACATTAAAAATAAATGCTCTTGGAAATTAAATGAAACAAGTAGCAGTCTGAAGTCAAAACCAGTAAAAGGACAAACAGCGTTCATTTTTCAAAGAAATAAATACATGCTGCAAGCTGTAAGCAGGAAACACATAATAAATCACCCCAACTACATTACTGTAGGTGAACGAAAATCACCATTACCGCCATATTGAATACAGGTGCGCAGGAGTACGCGAGTGATCCGCGGTATGTTCCCATCGCACCCATAAAAGTGTGGGTTGCGGGGTAAGCGCAATGAGGCACCGCGACCTCGGCCCAGAGCAGGAGAAGGAACAGGGGGGTTTTTAGTCAGGTAGAGACTGACACTCCCTCCCACCCGGCTCTGGGCTGTGGGCCTGGGCGAAGTCATCTGATGATTTTCTGATTTTCCCCTCACAAAAAATAACCCTTAAAAGTGTGAGAGAGCAATGCTTTGGCACAAATGGGTCGGCTCGACCTGAGTGATACCGTGGCCTTCCAGAAAACCGGAATGAAACAACCGCATTGTTGTGTTTCGCCATGTGAATAAGGTTACCGGAGGCCCAGCTCCCTCCATCCCTTGCCAATCCTTGACTATCCGAAATCCTTATCCCTAAAAAGGCTGGCAACTCTCGTAACTCACTCGTAACTCCTTTGGTGTTGCGGGTGTCTATGGGCGAGGCTGATTGCTTGCTTACCATCAGGTAATCCGTCTGTTCGTTAGCCGACATATGTATGCTATAAAAGAAACACGTCACTTTTCAATTGGGTTACGTTAATGTTATGAACGCGGAATGACGTCATAGTGACGTCGGTTATTTAGTGGATTTAGTTTATACAAAGTAAATTCCGGGAATAGAAAAAAAAAGCTCACGGATATAGGGAAGCAAATGTGGTAGCAATATGTTTGGATATGCTAGTGCGTCGGCATCCTGTTATGTAATGTTACAAAAGACTATGATAGCTTAATTCCTATTATTAAAGAACATACAAATTACGTGAAACGTTGTCACACTAAAGTTTAATAAGGATATGAAAAATATTCTTGCACAACGTCTCATAGTCTAGTTTAAAACTGACATGAAATACCTTGTTTAACTTTACAAATATTTTTGTTTAACGTTAGCGTCAGTCTGACGTTTCCTAAACCAATAAATTCCAACTACGGGTTTCGTGGAAAGCATGCAAACGTCAGAGCAAAATAAAATTAACCGTGAATGAATGAAAAACTGAACTTGTCTGTGCTCCCACGTAAAGTAATATATGTTTCTAGCTTCCACCCGAAAATTTTTACACAAAAAGGTTTCCTAAATAAAAATTTCCCGAAGTGGGAACGCACCATACGTTTACAATCGATCGATCGTATCTCCATCGATCGTGTTCGATATATCGTCGATCGCTCGATACGATACAGATTCTCGTAATAACACGAATTTGTAGCACACTATGATTTTTGTGTCACTTTAACCGCGTTATTTATAGTCTTCAAGATAATTATTGGAAAAATTGTATGAAATTATTTATGTCGGTCAAGATTATGAGGATAATTTGTGGTTTACTTTGGTATTTAAGTTAATTTATTAAAATGTTATCTAGATTCGGTAATACATTTAATCTTTCTTTTGGGTTCTAGATTTCGTTGCAATCGTAAAAATATCCTCTCCCCATCTTCCATCATAGAGTCCCCTATCCGTAAATCCGTAACAACCCACACGAGGTACTACTTTTAGTACCTCCTTTAATATTATGAGTGTCAATGGGCGGCGCCGATTGCTTACCATCAGGTATCCGTCTGCTCGACAAAGAAAAAGTAGGTAATAGTTTTGTAAGCTATCAAACACCAAGTGCTTAGCTGTAACTATTTTCCTATTAAATAGAACCACACTCTTCAAAACCAGTCTACAATACACCAATTAACGCACCAATCTTCTACCAAGTCACATCACCGAAAAAAAGGACCAAAAACCAGATTTTCATACTGCAAACAAGTCTGGACCGATAAAAATCTTTCGATAACAACGGAAAGCTGAGCGTTATTTCCACCGAATACATTGTAAATCATTATTCAAGGATCCCATACAAATGTCGAACACACACGCGAACTAACAAACATGTGTATAGTAAAGAATTCCTATTATACCGGCCGGAATGCGTCTGCTTGATTTTGAATGGTCGCTTATTATGCACCCATTTACACCCGAGAAACGGTCGCCTCGATATTACTACACTGGAAGCGATCCCAATGTGATTGATTGATTTTTTGAATTTTTATTTTTTAATTATATATTTCTTTAGCGACAATAATAGTTTTTTCTTTAGCGACATTTTCAATATCGATCATTTAGGCAAAGAAAAGAGCTTCTATTTTTAAATACCATCAGGGCAAAAAGATTATGTTTTTTTTGTGAGGGGTAAATCATCAAATGACTTTCTGAGGGAGTGTCAGATCAGACTCTTACTGACTAAAAACCCCCCTGTTCCTTCTTCTACTCTGGGCCGAGGTCGCGGTGCCTCATTGCGCTTACCCCGCAACCCCGGCTGAACATCAGCCCTATAGGGCCCCGTCTGTGGTGGTGTATTGGCTCTTTGAGGCGCGCGCGGAACGCTACGCGCCGTACGCTCGGGGCAAAAAGATGTGTAAGGGCAAAGATTATGAATAAAAAAAGTTTCAACTTTCATTCTCATACAGTAATGATGCCTAAGTGTGTGTATTTTTTATTTATGTATGTGATACATACTTAGTATTTACTACATACATAGTTCGTTATTTAATTAGTTTCGATACAGGATAAAACACAGGTCCCAATGAACATACAGTTGTAATCGCTTTTTTAATTTACGTATCTAAGAAATCGCTAAGATAATGTACTCTTGCTGATTTTCATACGCACGTAATTAGTACACTAACATCCAGTACATTTCTAGTGCAGCCTAAATTTATCCACGTCTAGACTGATACCTATCTAGAACTATAAAATTAAAGAGTACCTATGTTTTATTTATCTGTGAATGTGTTATTTTCCTGCAGTTGAGTTTGTATTTGTTTTTGCACTCAACTCTTAATGAAGAGATGTAAAATTATGTTACGCTTATTCCGTACCTATAAAATACTGATGAGTAAATTTGGTAATACTTTAAAGAAAACTACGCTTATTCCGTACCTATAAAATACTGATGAGTAAATTTGGTAATACTTTAAAGAAAACTACGAATACTTGAAGAATTTATTTCTATATTGGATTTTTTAATTTCTATCCAAAGGTTGTCTAGATGAAATCAATCTGTAATTATAATACTCTGTTCTCATTTGGAGATCTGTATAATTAACTGTATAAAATATAAATTAATTAATTAATTGTCGCCGAGTCTGAGGTTCTTGGTAAGATATAAACCGGATTGATAGAAGGGAGTCACTGGATCCAATAATATAAAATGATAATGTTGATGATGAATTCCCAATCACCAATTGTTTGACGGTGGTTCATAATGGATGGCGCCAGTTGCTTAACTTTCGTTATTTCGAATATTATCTGGAATACACTCGTATTATTAATTACGTAAGACTTGGAATAATCTTAAACTTAGGAATGATTTTCCAGTGGCGGTATTTTCGAACCGATACGACCTCCAAACCTTCAAAAACCGTGCTTACTCCTTTTTTAAAGGCCGACAACCCGCTTTTGACTCCTCTGGTGTTGCAGGTGTCCACCGGCGGCACTGATCACTTAACATCAGGTGATCCAATGAAAATATACGTTAAAAAAACCAGTGGCTTTGCTAACATAGTATGCAATACACCAAACAGTCTCACCGACAAAGCAATATTTACAACCACTTTATATTACAAACAGTCGCAGAAAGCCACTTCCATGAAAACTTTAGATCCGGGACAAAGATACGAAAACAGTAGCCCAAAGGCGTTTGATACGCATCTCGATAGTGCAGTAACAAGCAGCATGTTCGTGTCAATCCAGCTAATGTACCCGACGAGGCACAATTGGTAAAGTGCGTGTATGTGTTATTTTCATACACAGAGACTCTACTGCATACGATGTACCTGAAGGGTGCGATGGCTGTGTGGGCGAACTTATTGGTGCAGTTCGGACTTTTCGATGGCGATTGTTCTTCTTATATTTGTGGAGTTTTTTTTATGTGATATGATGATAAAAGAACAGACGTATGTATTACGTATTGGTAAGCAATCAGCGCCGCCCATGGACACCCGCAACAACGGAAAAGTTACGAGTGCGTTGCCGACCTTTTGGGGATTTGGGGATTTGGAGATTTAGGGATTGGGGAGAGACTAGGTGAGGAGAAGGATTGGGCCTCCGGTACTCTCACTCACACAGCACAATGAAGATTTGATAGTTTTAGTGTTTCACATGTCTGTGAGTCATATCTTTTATGTATAGGTAGGTACATCAAAACAGTTCGTATTTCTACTAAACACTTTTCAATCAAAGCACAAATTAGTGGGCTACATTCTTGCGATAACAAAAGTTCTGATTTTTTTAAAGATCACTAAACACATTGCCTATCACAGATACCAGTCTCTAAAGATATTAATTCTTTCGTGTATTTTGATATGTATAAAATTGATGATAAGAAAAAAATTAACTTTACTATTATATAATTATGTTTCAAAATTGGTTACGTTCTTGCATCGTTCTTACAGGAAATACACGCATTACTTCCTTAGCATTCAGACGCAATACAATCAGCATCACTTAACACAATTACCTGTCGCCACAGTACACATGACGACGAAGAATCAGATTACCTTACAGGATGAACAGCAACGACTAACTAAGTCGGGACAACCCTAGTTCTGCTACAAGGGAACTTAAACCTTATGCTTGTGTACTTAATGCTTGATACAGATCTGAGTTACGAGGTGCGGATTGCTTTATAGGCCGACAGTGGACGCAGGGATATGTACGGTCGGGGATTTAATTTCATTCAGCTGTATCCAGGAGATAATTTAAGGAGCTAGTGACAATATCATTCAGTTAATAAATTAAGGGTTCTTGATTGAGTTTTTGTATTTCAATTATTCAGGTGTTAATTAAACATATATTCGTATTGAGATGCTGAGCCTAATAGAGACCTACATCACATTTAACTGAATCAATAAACGTATTATTTTGTTTTAATTTGTTTTTTTCCAAACAAACAGTGACAGAAAAGGATTTTGTTCGTTAGCAAAGATTAGGATCATACAAGTGTAGGAGCTTGTATATGCTTAGGCACTAACGGGTCGGCGACCGAAGTGATACCACAGCCTCAAAAAAAAAAAAACTGACGTGAAACATTCAGTGTTGTGTTTCACCGTGTGAATGTGGATACCGGAGGTCGAGTGCTTTTTCCCCTTCCTCAGACCCTAAATCTCCGAAAGGCCGGCAACGCACTAGTAACGCCTCTGATGTTGGGAGTATCCGTGGGCGGCGCGAATGCCATCAGGTTAAGGAAGCATTATGCATAGATAGGTGAAGGAAAACATCGTGAGGAAACCTGACTTATATTATAAGTTTGAAATCGCCAACCCGCATTGAGTAAGCGTGGTGATTAATGCTCTAACCTTCTCCGTATAAGAAGAGGCCTTTCCTCAGCAGTGGGCACTTATAGGCTGATGATGATGATAATGCATAGATCAATAAACATTATCAGCCAGTAGTGAACGTCCTTTATTTTAGTGACCAGAAATTTCAATGCATTAATCTACTATTTATTT